TCAACGAACGTTTGGCAAAAAGTTGTTGAAATACATTGCGATTTTGGCTCCGTTTATCTCGTTTTTTCGAAGGTATGTTTTTATATTTGTATTATTTAAGACCCTAATTAAACTGTTTTTGACTTGTTTGGTACAGGAATTGCTTTTTAGTTATGCTAATTACGTATTGTAATTATGCTTGATTCGGGTCAGTGCACACGCCAATAAAATGACCTTGATATAATGCAGAAGCAAACTCACTTTTTTTTTAGGAAAATAAAAACAAAACACGTCATCGAATTCGGGAAGATTTTTTCTTTCTACTGTTACTTTAAAACATGAGTTTGCTCCACTAAACCGACAAGTAATCGCGGTTTGAAAATGGGGTACTTTCGCTATATTCTATCGCCGATGGCGGGAATAGACCCCCTGATAAATAATCATGGCGCGAAGGAAATTATTGTACTAATCACTATTTTTCATGATAATTTTGAAACATACACATTTTTGTTCGTACATATTTTAAGTTTAATGCAATTTTTAAGGTTAGGTATGCTTATGTTTACCTGCCCTGACTGTATTTTTTTTCATTTTATTATATAATTCGGCTATTTTGGAGTAAAAGTATATATTTTAAACGGGTATATACTTATGGTGATACCCCAGGGAAACCTAATAATAAAAGACACAGAATTTCTCGTTTGAAAATTCAACATCAAGGTTTTTACAAACATAAAATACAGTATGACCAGTTTGACCATACTAAAACATTGTAAAGTTGTCATATTAACAGTATTAAAACATTGTATTTTAATGCTTTTTTTGCCTGGGAGAATTTCTGTCCATAGGCATATTACGAGGCGGGGGGTTGCAACCCCTCCAGTCAGTGTTTAGTTGGGCAGAATTCTTCTTTAAAAAATTATTGGGCAATTGTTTTAAAATTGACTTTAAACAGTATATAGACTGGAGATGTATTCCTTCTATTTTAAATGACAATGTTGGGCAATTTCTGTCCACCTGTACGCCATATTATTTTTCAATGCTGGGAGTGGCATTCCAGAAAACCTATAGTAGACACATTTCCTGGAGAAGCATGCCCACAATCCTGGTAAACATCCATAAGTTTCTTTGTTGCCGTCTAATTGTGCTGGCACTGAGATTGCCCCTCTCACTTTTGCTGTTTGCTTTGTAGTTTCCTATCAGAAAGATTAAACCGACTCCAAAGAAATCCCCAGTACAACTTCATAAATGGACATTTGAGGAAGATAAAGCATTCATTGAATTCATATCTGTTGCAGAAAATCATGCAAATGATTACGATTGAAGAGGTTTACCAATTATGTGATACCTCTAGTTGTTTTAATACATCATTAAGCTAGAGCAAAAGCATCACCTTTCATATACGTTATCATATAGCATCCGTGTTTCTGGTGAAATGAATGTGTGCAACATTTTAAAATTGTACGCATAAGATTTTATTGTTAAAAACATTTTAATTATCTTTATTAAGTACAGTAATATTATGTTAATATTTTTTTCGATTTTAAAATAAATAAATTTTATCAACATCATTTATGTAGTGTGTGCAGATCTTTTTATTCATTTGTGATGAGCAAGGGAAGACTATACACTGAAAATCGTGAAAACCATACATACCATAAACCTCCGAATATAAGTCCCCCCCCCCATGTACAAGCCCCCCCTTGTGTAAGCCCATCAAAAATCGCTTACGAAAGAATACAAGCCCAGTTCTTTTAGGTGGAGGTTTACGGTAGATTGTCAAAAAAACTGCAGAACTGTAAGATGGTGTCCATGCATGGGATATACTTATGGTATAATCAAGTGATATATATATATATATATATATATATATATATATATATATATATATATATATATATATATATATATATATATATATATATATATATATATATATATATATATATATATATATATATATATATATATATATAATTTCGCTTACCTCAAAATTCCGCAACAGTCTGTTTCATATACCGCCTGATGATTCTTTACTGATGAAACAGACTGTTGCGGAATTTTGAGGTAAGCGAAATTCTACATTTGCTCTCATCTTTATGATATTGAGCACTCTTTGCGTTTCGTATACACAAACCTACTC